CACTTTTGTTGTTTTCTTGTAAATAACTTGATGTTTTGATCAATATTTAAGACGTTTTGTCGTTTTTGTAACAAAAGACAATAATTTTTATTAGAATTAAACGTTATTGTAGACTGAAGGTTGATTTCACTAACGAAGTATAGTTGAGGGGTTTTTTTACTGAAAAAATAGTTAATGAGATTTTTCAAGATCCGGTGATAGTTGAAGAGATTTTTTATTAAAAACCCTAGTTCAAACTACTAAAATTGAAATTGAATGATTCAATCATTCGTACAAAATTGAACGATTCAATCATTGGTAGTACTTATTGGTATTTTATATGGTACGCATTAATACGAAGTTTTATACTACAAGCCCAAGCCAGTGCCTTTTTGAATTAATTTAGTACAAACTAGCCCAAACGTGGGCCTTTGCGTCAAAAAGTCTTATTTGCCCCTGCCACATCCCGAAAAATTACCCTTTTGCCATTATCCCTGTCTTCTTTCTCGTGCCGTTTTCTAAAACCCTAGCAAAAGCTTGTAGAACTCATATCGAAGTCTTCTCCCTGCTGATTCCCAAAGCACAGAGATTGTCTCAGAAACCCTAATTTCTTGCATATACCCAGAGCCTTCCCTATTCATATGCTTTGAAAGAAAATGCCGAAGTTAAAGCCATCGAGTAAGTCAGTGGACGACAGTCTTCTCAAATCAGATATCGCATCGTTCGCTTCATCTATTGGTTTGTCTTCGTCTCTTCCTTCTTCTGGTTTCGACGACTCTGATTTCCGAAAACCCAGTAGACCCAAAACCCAGAAACGGAAAAAGCCGAAGAAAGACCGCTCCGATCAGAAGAAACAGAACGAGGTTAGAGAAGGCGGAGATGATAAAAGGAATCCTAAATCGAACGTTGCAGATGAATCAGGGAAGAATTTGGGAGCGAAGAAGCAAAACCCCAAAGATACGCCTGTGAAACAAACGTTGAATCCGAAGCCAAAGCCTGATTTTTTGTCGATTGATGATGAGAATACTGGGTTTAAGGCGAAACGTTTCGATAAGTACAAGAGTTTGCCTAAGTTACCATTGGTCAAAGCGAGTTTATTGAGCTCTGAATGGTACAATGATGCTGATGAGCTGGAGGAGAAGGTTTTCGGTGGTGGAGATCGTCGGAAAGTGGCGGTGATGAACCAGGAGGGTATGAAAGGTGTGGTGGAGACGAAGAGGGAATTAGGAGAGAGATTGATGTGGCAATATTCAGAGGATTTTGTGACATCGAAAGGAAAAGGTGGAGATATGAAGATGGTGATCTCTGCTCAAAAGTCAGGGACTGTAGCTGATAAAATCACTGCCTTTGAGATCATGGTCGGAGAGAATCCCATTGCAAATATGAGGTCTCTTGATGCCTTATTGGGTATGTGTCCTTTTTATAGGTTCCCTTCAGTTTCTATTTGTTTTATCATTTGAAGCATTTTGTTGATGATGTCTTGTTCATTGCAGGAATGGTGACCTCGAAGGTTGGAAAACGATTTGCATTTAAGGGTCTTAAGGCACTATCAGAAATTTTGATCAGGCACATTTTTCTTACTCCCACACCGAGCTATCAGTTTATGCGTCCATAATCATATCAGTCTTTCATTTTTCGTTTTCGAACTAAATGAGTTCTTTTTTTTTTTCCAGGCTATTACCTGATCGGAAGTTGAAGACACTTTTACAGCGACCCTTAAACAGCATTCCGGAAAATAAAGATGGTTACTCGCTTTTGCTATTTTGGTACTGGGAGGAATGTTTGAAACAGAGGTAAACAGAATCATTTTGCTTTCAACAATTGTAGGTTCCCCGTCACGTTGTTTGTTAGGCGTCTTTACACTAGACGAAGTTAGAGAATATAGAGCTTTAACCTTCTTACTGCCCGAGAAAATATACTTTCCAGCAGTTTTTTGAAATGTTTTCTGCTTAAATCATGGTACGAGGGATGTGTTTATGACATCATCCAAGATCTGTATCTCCTATCGGTAATTGTTCTGGCTCGAATATCCAGTTAACAGCTTACTATGCTGACTTTGTAGGTATGAGCGTTTTGTCACCGCACTTGATGAATCATCTAAGGATATGCTCCCAGAGCTAAAAGACAAAGCTTTAAAGGTATATTTTGTTACCACTATTGCTCCCCCTAGCCCTTTAGTAGCAATGGTCTCCATGTTTTGTAAGATTCTTGATGAGTATCATGTTAGACATTTGAGAATATAATCCTGTTTGCTAGATGATGCATGATTGCATGGTGCAGGTCCTATGATGGGGTTTTTTGCTTGGTAACGTGATCAGGATCTTTCCTCAACTAAATGATTTTTTTGTTTGTTTGGTTTCAGACAATATATTTCATGTTGACAAGCAAATCAGAGCAGGAGCGGAAATTGCTAGTGTCATTGGTGAACAAGGTATTGTCGGTTGTTCTTTAGAATATCTGTATCTAATAAAATTTTCTGAGTTGTGATCCCTTTAATTATTCTGTGGATTACTTTACACAGTTGGGAGATCCTCAAAACAAGAGTGCATCTAATGCAGATTATCACTTGAC